GCACCACTTCCGGTTTTCTAGTGGTTTATTGGAGATAAGAGTTTCACAGCTGTTCCTGTCTGTGCTGGCTTTGAACCTGTGATCCTCAGATCTCAGCCTCCTGAGTAGCTAGGATTACAGGCGTGAGCCACCGGTGACCCGCTATGTGAACTTTATCTTGATCCAAGATGATGAGTTTATTCTAAAGAGAATTTTTTTAAATTGGGTATGAGAATCTACATAAGTGCCCTTTCCTCTTAGGTCCTCTGAAGTAAGGATTTAGCACTGACTGTGGATTGTACCAGCTACAAGAAGATCTCACCAAATTGACAAGGCAGGATTCCATTAAGAGTCTGAATCAGAGGCAGACTCTGGTCCAGGTGAGGTATACATTCTCCTAGTTTGGTTGATGTGCTGACTATCTTACATGCTCAAATGTAGCTTCAGAGTGTATAAAAATTTCTGAATTATGGGCTGGGAAGGTGGCTCAGTGCTGGAGCGCTTGCCTTGCATGCATGAGGCCCTGGGTTTGATTTCTCAGCACCATATAAGCAGAAAAAATAAAAAAGCCGGAAGTGGCGCTGTGGCTCAAGTGGTAGAGCGCTAGCCTTGAGCTGAAGAGCTGAGGGACAGCGCCCAGGCCCAGAGTTCAGGCCCCACGACCGGATCCAACCCCCCTCCCCCACAAAAAAAAATAAATTCTGAACTATAAATAATTCCCAGAGATTTAACATTCGTGAATGTATTAGATCTGAGACTGCTGTAAGCCTACTTTTTTTTTTCTTTTTCTTTTTGGTCATGGGGCTTGAACTCTGGTTCTAGGCGCTGTCCCAGGGCTCTTCAGCTCAAGGGTAGCGCTCTACTACTTGAGCCACAGTGCCACTCCCAGTTTTCTGGTGGTTTATTCGAGATTAGAGTCTCACAGACTTTCCTGCCCAGGCTGGCTTTGAACTGTGATCCTCAGATCTCAGACTACTAAGTAACTAGGATTACAGGTGTGAGCCAACAGTAAGCACCTGTTCTAATACCAGATTTTGAAGCATTCATTGCCAATGAAATCAGGTCATTAAATTTCATTATAGTCTTACTATATGTTAATCATATTATAAAATATACTCTTAATACAAATTAAAGTTTATTATATATATGTTTAAAACTTTTATTATTGAGAAACCATTATTTTCTTTGGATTATTAAAATTACTTGTCTAGTTTTAAAACTGTCATTACTGGGCTCATGAATAAAGTCATAAAATATAATGTATTAGAAATATTATATTCTCAAGAACTTTTCTATTACTTGTTATGTAGGTTTCCCAAGCTACATCTACATTTTAGATGAGAATTAATGTGAGATTAAGTAATTTATTAGCATAAATTGGTGAAATTGTGCCATCTAGTGTCCTTTACAAAAAAACAACTTGTACTTTCTTTAAGATAGACTTTTCAGTTTCTAGAATATTAAATGTAACTAATTAAAATACATTTAGAAATCTATTTGCAGAGGCCTAATATTAGAGAAAAAGAATATAACGAGTGAAAGAATATTCTAAGAGCAAAATCAAAATTTCCTAGTCATTCTCTAGGAATTGGTATGGCATTTCTTTTTTGGGGGGTCTGGTTGTGGGACCTGAACTCAGGGCCTGGGTGTTGTCCCTCAGCTCTCCAGCTCAAGGCTAGCGCTCTACCACTGGAACCACAGCACCACTTCCAACTTCTTTTCTTTTTGCTTATGTGGTGCTGGGGAATCGAACCCAGGGCCTCATGCATGCAAGGCAAGCGCTCTACTACTGAGCCACCTTCCCAGCCCCAGACTTTCTAAGATTTAATACGTGAAGCATCTCATTCTGTGTGGAGTGTGTGTTTTAGTGGGGAGAGGAGTAGGGATGATACTGAATGCTGTCCTTGGTTGGTGATGGTAGGAAGGGATGATATCCTGGAGACTGAAGTTTCTTCTCTTCCCTGCCTTTCTTAAGGTCAACTTTATTGCCTCCACAAGTTCTATTCTGACCTCCAGGGGGCAGAGTTTTGCATGTGTTTCAATCAGATGAAGAAAATATGAACCTAGTTTCATTAGGATGAACAGGAAATATAAGGAAAAAGAGAAAACATTTGTGTGTGTGTATGTGTGTGTGTGTGTGTGTGTGTGTGTGTGTGTGTGCGCGCGCTCGCTAGTAGCTATATTTGATTGATATAAAACTCTATTCAATGTCCATGTTTGTGTTTGTATGAATTGTCTGATTACTTTTGGAGAGGTAATTAATTGTCTTTCATACTCGCTCTTCCTGTTTTTCTCTCCTTGAACCCTCCCTTTGCAGATACTGGGGCTTGAATTCAGGGTCTCACGGTTTCGATTGGCTTTTTTTTTTTTCATGGTTGGTCCTCTACCTATGCCTCCAGTCCAGCATTTTGCAGGCTAATTTTAAGATGGAGTCCTATGAACTTTTTTGTTTAGACTTGCTTCAAACCTCAATTTTCAGAGCTCAGTCTCCTGAGTAGCTAGAATTTCAGGTGTGAGTTAATTGTTTAGGTGTGAGTTAATTGTTCTGGCTCTTAATTTTTGGATTAAAAAAATGTGTAGGTGGAAACAAAAAAAGGGGCAAACCCTTGAATGCTTTTGTAATATATTGTGCAGAAACATGAATTCTTTGCAACCACAAGTGTGTTAAACATTTCTGAACCTTTTTATTAATGTTATATATGGGACATATCAACATCATTTGTTTAAGTTGTCTGGCGGGGTTTGTTAGTCCTATTTAACTAGTAACATATATAAACATGCACCTAACACCTTGTGACTTGTATTGTTTTTTCCCAAATTACTATTTAACTTTGTGTTTAGTTACTGTATATCCATGTCTACAGAGCTATAAAATTCCTTTGAATTCACAAAACACACAATTAACTTCAAGTTAGTTATTTTTACTCACAGTAAAAAGTATGCAACTTCTTGAAGTTTAAAGTGTAACTTCTTAAGCAGTTATTTTGACATCCCTGGAGTAAGAACTCAAGAACTTACCTTGCTAGATTGACACACTCATATTTGAGCCATGCTTCCAACCCTGTCTTTTGCTACATATTTTGAGACAGCGTCTCACTAAATTTTCTGCCCAGGCTGACCTTGAACCATGATCCTTCTGCTCTCAGCTTCTTTAGGAGACAGTATTACAGGCATTAGCCACTCACATGCAGCACCTATTCTTAAGTATACACTTAAATACTGTATTCACATTGTTGTGTAATGAGTTTCCAGATGATTTTATTTTTTAAAACTAAAAATTTTTAGCCCTTAAACAATTCCCACTTCCCACCTCTTCAGTTCTTGGTAACTACCATTCTACTTTCTGTTTCTATGTCTTTGATTTCTTTAGCTACTATGTATGGTGGAATCATGCATCTATCTGTCCTTTTGTGACTGGCTTATTTATTTCATTTAGCACAATGTTGTCAATACTCATCCATGTTTCTAAACAGAGATAGATCCATGTAGCCTGGCATGTAATAACAGCAGCACCTGAAGTTGCTTCTGATGTACCAGGCCGTAGACCTCCCAAAGACCACCAGGGAGCTGTTGAGCCAGACTCACAAACCTTCTCTGATGCAGCAGGTCAGAAATTGTGGGCCTGACCCTTCCTCTAGTAGGGGATCTTTAGGGACTTCTATGCGTCATTGCAACACTTAACAAATCATATCACACCGCGGGAAAATCATAAAATAATTCTAAAAGATGATTAACCAGTGGCGGGACCGACCAGGTACTGGGGATTGGCTGGTTCAAGCAGATGGTCTGAACTGCGACCTAGCGTCTTTAACTTGCAGGACATCTGGAACTTTGGGTTTTTCCTGTTATCTGCTGATTTGCTGTAGTGGAATTTACTGTAGAGGGTTATTCTTGGAATTTGGATTCAAGGGGATCAAGGGGAGTTGCTGACACATTTCCCCGACAAAATGGAATCCAAACCTAAAATTGCTGTATTTTGCTCAGGCTTCACAGCTTCCAGTGGTGGGCCAGCCTGACTAGCCTAACCTAGGCTCTGATTTGAGCCTCCGCCCTTCTCTTTCACAGCTGTGAGTCCTGATCTTTCCCCTTTCCTCTCAATTGTTTTTATTTTGCCAGTGTTGGGATCGAACCACAGCCCAGGGCTCAACCATGCTTGGTTCAGAGCTTCTTCCATGTCACTCAGAGTGACAGGGGAAGCTGATCAAGGTCAAGTTAACCTTCAACCTCATCTTACAGTTTTTGTTTTAAAAATAGGAATAAATTCTAGGTAGAGTACATAGACAAGCTGTCTTTGCTAGGTGCTGAAATAAGGTCAACATCTGGATTTATTCTGTATTTAATTTTATTTTTGTTGGGCGTGGGACTCGAACCTAGGGCCTGGGTGCTGTCCCTGGGTGCTCAAAGCTAGAACTCTGCCACTTTGGGTCACAGGGCCTCTTCCCTCACCGGTGTTGTGTAGGGCTGTTCTGGCATGGTAAAGCAGTCAGCCCCGGAGCCCCGCACACCTCCCCTGCAGCCCCGGAGCCCCGCACACCTGCGCTCCAGCTCCGGGAAGCGCTGCGGGAGGGGGAGCTGGGAAGGCCCGCCCTCGGCGCGCATGCGTCAGGGACAACCTCCCGCAGCTCGGCCCCGGGAGTGGGGGGGGGGGGGAAGAAGGAGGAGTCCTCGGACTTCCGGGGCGGGGGAATGGGCGGAGCCAAGGCCGGAAGCAGCCGGTCGGGAGCGCCGGCTTCCTACAAGTCCCTCCCGGGGGAGGCGCCTGCGCTGTCGGGTGGTGGGCCGGAGGTCTCGTGGTCTCTGGGTGTGTGTCCCTACTCCCCCTGCCCCACCCACTGTACGCTAGGGCTAGAAGTCGCCCTTGGGACCATGTGACACCAGGATGGTGGGAGGCAGCTGGAGCCTAGGCCGGCCCCCGGGCGCCCGCGGATCCTCCCCAGGCCTCGGAGCGGCGTCGGCCCGCGGTGGCGCCGCAGCGCCCCTAGCGGCCGGGTGCTAGCCTCGCGGCCCCGCCCACCGCCGCGATGTACGACCGCGCGCCGCGCTTGCTCAGGTTGGCCGAGGGGGGCAGCACCGAGGCGCATGTGGGCCCTGGGTCCTACCAGGTGCCTTTCCCCAAGGAGCGGGACGCAGGTAAGATGCCCGGGCGCCTCCCCGCGCCGCCTGCGCACGGCCAAGTGGTCGCGGTCACAGCCCAGGCACAGCACACGGAGCAGGCGGGGAAGGGACTCAGGTGCAGGGCTTCCATCCCTGCCTCGGTTGGCTTCGCCACACCCGAGCCCGTGTGTCTGTGGGCCCTGCTGTTTTGTGGGTACCCATCCGCTTCACCCTCCTGTCCATCAGACACATCCATTCACATCAGACATGTGTCACTTTTGCAGTATTTGAAAACCAGCCACACGCTGCGTTTTCCATTTCGCTTACTGCGCATCACACATCATCATTCATCTCCGTCCTCCACTGTTACTCATTCCTGTTCTGATCACTCTCAGATGAAAATCAGCTTTGGAGATGTGATCCACCCCCCCCCCCCCCAAGGTGATTCCTCTCCTGACCTGAAGGTCTTCAGCCTCGCCACTTACTGTTGTTATCATTTTGGGTGATGCCACTTGGATGATTTCAGCTAAGGAACTATGTTAGCCTACTTCCTGGCCAGACCATTCCAGTTGATCCTGAAGACCCAGTGAACTTGACAGGCATCCTCAGATTGGTTCTCTCTGTCCATTCAGGTGCCCCTGAATTAGTTCAAGTCCTCATTTCTTCAGTTTCAGTGTGCACATCTCCTTGTGGCTAGAACGATCGTTGTAAGATAATAGTATTCGTAAGAAACACAAAAGAAACTTGTAAAACCAAGATCAAACATGTGAAGGCCTTGCCATGTTAATAAAGTTCTTGTTCTCATCTCTGACTTGGTCTCCCACTTAACTAATTATTTCTAGGGACCCATACTTTCTCCTTGACTTCTATTTCAGCAATTCCAGCTTTGTAATGTTTATAAGTTCATGCTCTCTCATTTCTGTGCCTTTCCACCTGTTGATACATTTGCCCAGGAGGCCCTGTCTTCCTCCTCCTTCTGGTTATTTCCTATTCATTCGTTGAGAATCAATGCAAATGAAGTTCTCTGACTCAACTTGTTTTCAGGTTTTTTTCTGTTTTGTTTTTTTTTTAATGACTCTTTTTAAAAACACTTTGATTATATGTTGTAATTACTGTAAAAACAAGTGAAGCCGCACTATAATGTGAACTGCTTCCAGACAGAAATCATTATTTACTCCATTATCCAGTTATATAACATAAAGATCTCAATTTAAAAAAGTTAAATAAAATGAAGATTTATGAACCAAAATAGCACAATTAAATATACCTCATTGCTCACTCTGCTTAGAAGACAGTAACATGTAAACAGGCCCTTCTTAAAACTTTTAAAGGATCATACTTTGTTAACCTATGTTAGTTTACAAGAAGCTACCATCTCTAAGTATATCTACATCACCTGTCTTTTAGATCTCTGATACACTAGACTGTTATTTCAACTAAGTGGCAGGTAGATTTTGCAGAGTATGACGTGGCAAGAACTAATGTTGGGACTTTATATCATTTACACATTACGTTGAACTTTACAAGAGCTAAGGTCCTTGGAGCTTTAAATACAGATATTTGTTCCCAACCTTTCTCTCTTAACTTTTTCTCTTAGCTACTTGGCCAATCCTCTTACTCTCTCTACTTTAGTATGTAGCTCCTTTACCTTGGCTTAAGGCCACTTGGCCGGGAGAATCTCTTCTATCTATGATTTGCAACTCAGAAGGGACAGGTCTGAGCTGCTTTGCTTTCATGACTGGAAGTGATGTTGGATTCAGCACTATTGAAGATTGTATTTGATTTTCTCACAATTATCAAAGTAAAAATTCCCCAGAGACAACTGACCTAGCATACTATGACAAAACATATTCCTCTACTGATGTGACTGCTCTTGATACTATTGTGCTAAGTATTTCATTGCTTAAGTTTATTTATAAAATAAATCGCACTCCCTATTAGCTGGATATTATTTCTCTATATTCATTCTAAGTAGAGTGACATTATCTTTCACAGATTCCTTCTTTCATGGGGGAGCTTTATCTGTCTCAAAAACATTAAGGGTACATGAGCCTATACATTAGTTTATGAGCTTAGGTTAACAATGATGACTTTATTTGCTAATTAAAATCCTGGGAGACCATATCAAGAAATGTAGCTTATTCTTATTTAAGTTAAAGTGATTAATATGTGTATGTGATTGTTGTGTAGATACTGCCACTGAAGATGACTACCTGTTTTAAAGTCCTACTTCTTTCTATCTTCTTTGTGAATAATGCTCTGTGTTGTGTGTCTATCACTGTGGCTGTGAAACTGACCTTTTAAGCCCATTCCCTCTTTCTCACAACAGTCTGACTTTTATTGCTTCATGCCAGTTTGATTTATCTTTTGCTGTCAGCACCTCAAACTCAATATCTCCCAAACTGAATTCATTTCTTTCCTCTTTTTTTCCTCTTAAATTCTTAAATTTTTTTTATCTGTCATTTTGATTTATTGTTTGTATTTGTCACCTCACATGTCAATTTATCTAGATGTTCCAACTCAAACTCCACTAGCCCCAATTCTCCAGAACCTTCATTGGTGTTTCTATCTTAATTATTGGTGGCATTTATAGCATTTTTATTTGCCTCATCCACTATTTGAAGCCAGTTTTTTTTTTACTCATTATTGTACCCTCACTATCATACATATATGTAACAAAGCACTCAATATTGTTGAATGAATGCCTGTAGGTGTAATTTAGAGTATCAGATATTCTTTGTTATTTACTATGTAGAGCACAATGCTAAGATGACCAACCATACTGAATTATCTAGGACTACCCTAGTTTAAACACTGAAGTTCCATGTCCTGGGAAGCTTGAATAGTTGGTCATCTTAACTTTAAACATTTGGCATACAGCTTCCTTTTGTGGAACTATCATTTAAATTTTCCTGTGGAGATGTAATAATACTTCCATAGAAAAGTCACATTAACTTTTTATATTGTTGAGGCAATTATTTTCTGTACACCTACTTCAACTTCTTTCTATCTAGGCTGTCTCTGTAAGTTCATATTTATTACTTTCAAAATAACATATGCTGTTTTAAAAGCATAGGCCTTCTGAGGAAGAAATATTTTTCATTAGCAAAATATAAATGTCATTTTTATCCCAAGCAAATTTGCTTAGAATAAAAAGATATTATTTTGTCTTTCATTTCCTCTAGGTATCTTTTTCTGTTATGCAATAAGGTTAGTTCTTCTACAGGTTCTTATGCCCATTATATATCTATATCTCTCTATATATTTGTGAGTTTACATTAGAAAATTTTAATGCATTAACTTCTGTGACTATCGACTAATTCTAAAACCATAGTCTTAACGTTGAGATAACTATGTGATTACACGTGTTTCAAGTCTCTTTTCTCAGATATCTTTGGAATCCTATCTTAACTGACAGTGGTATGATTTTATTATACCAGGTGGCTATGCCCCATTTCTCTCATGGAGTGCCAGAGAAAGTTCTTTTACTGTTGCCTCCAACACTGAAAAAGCTCTTCCAGGTCCAGGACACTATAATATTTCAAAAGCACAGGTACATTTATAAAGTTATGATCATCTCAGTTAATAGAAACCATATTTTCCTTTCATGCTCTGAAATACTATTTGTCATATGTAAGTTTTGTTTGTGTCATCTTCCTACTCTTTTCAGTCTACATTTTGTAGACTAAAATGAACAGAAATTAAGTGCATTTGGTTTTGCTTGCCTGATTATTCTCTATACTCTATAAGAGATAAAATATTCCTAGGTAGTGAGTAGTCCATGAGAATGGAAAATGGCATTCTTGGATAAATTAGAGCTCCTCAGAGTTGTGCAAATGGTCCAGGTATGTACAAAAGGAATGGCACTGGAGTGAAGGAGTTGGGTTTGGTGCCAGTGTTCAGGCCATAGTTTAATCTCTGCCCTGTTTTGCATAGTCTCATGAGTCTGTGGCCAGAGTATTTTCCATGGTACTATACATGATGCTCAGAAATGGTAGGTATAGCTGAGCCAAAATAGCTCAATTGGAAGAGCATTAGGCTGAAGAAATAGTAGATAAGCAATGTCAATATCTTCATAATAATGCATATTGTATTTTATCCTTTTGGAATTTTATTGACTTAAGTGATTTTCAGTAACTTGACAGTTTTTGGATTCTTTAGAATTGAGATATGTGGTATGATGAGCCATGGGAGATTCCTTCCAATGTGTGCTATCTACCCAATAAACAATGCTTAAAAATAATCTCAGCAAAAAAATCAAGTTTTTCTGTTAAGCACACATAAACTTCCCTGGAAATATGTAATGAGTTACTTATGAAAATAACCAAACAAGCTGGAAAATTTGCCTTTTCATTGAATATGTGAGTTCCAGCATTTCAAAATCTCCTTAGAAGTATAAACTTTTCAATGGCTTGCAGAACATGCAAGTTACCACTTTGTTTTATAGCTTTGGGAACCTCAGTCTTAGATTCCTGTTTTAAAACTGTTTATGGTATTTTCGTATACTTACAGTAAATTTTAGTTCAATTTTAAAGCTAAAATGGAAAGTTGTAGTTGTCATCTCATCATCCTCTTGCTAGAACAGTTTTCTGTTCATGGTCTTACCTTCCTTAGATTAGGGTTTAAAACTTTTATTAATATTGAATACTTATGAAATTAGAATTAGTTATAAAACACTTCTTTTAATTATTTTGTAATTTTTTTCTGTTTAACTTAGAGTACTATAAAAGGAGGCAACAGTCTGAAAAACCGAGAAATACGTTTTAAGAAGATTATTTCAGACAATCCAGGACCTGCAAGCTATGATCAGTGTTATCCTGGTTCATTAGATATGAACCAGAAATTACTAGAAGCTAAAGAGCATCTTCAGTTTGTATGTTGACATTTTAAATTATGCTTATAATGACATGTTCCTTAGATAAAATCAAATAGAGAAATTGTTGGACTTAGCTGTATTCCTAGGTTCCCTTTTTGTTTTTGATAAATCTATAATCGCTTCCTGTATCCACAGTGTATAGGATGTAAAGATATAAGGATGATTTCAAAAACTACTGGTTTTCCTATATAGAGGATAGTCTACGTAAGTTTAGAGACTGTTCAAAGTATAGGTAATAAAAGAGAGAAGTTAAAAATGTGATTCCCTGGGCTATGGGTGTAGGTAGTAGAGCACTTGCCTAGCATATATGATGTTCTGAAGTTGACCCTTGCACCACAAAAAACAACGACATAACCTCCCCGCCCCCCCATATCGAACCAAACCATAAGACCAAAATACCATGAAATAAGACAGCTGAAATAAGGAAGTCAGAAATTTAGATGGGAGATACATATCGGTAGCTTATTATTCAAGACAAAATGTGAAAGGTGATAAATTAATGAGCATGTAATTAAATGCTGTAAGAATTTTAGAGAGGACTACTGTTTTATGGAAAGGCATAATTTATCAAAATGGTTGACATACTCCTTCAAAATAAATAATATTACTTAATGGGCATGGTCATATTTATTTATAGTGGTTCCCTTTTGTTATAATAACAGAGCCCATATTAAAGTATTTTAATCAGTTTACTGTTTAGAAATTCATATTTTAGTGCTAAGCCCTTAGTTGGATAATCTCCGTATGGTGACATTGAAGTTAAGTTTAATAACCTGTATTTAAACATCAGTTGTTTTGTGTGTAGGGATAAAGTAAATATTCACTTACTCAGGTGAAAGGTTTATCAAGCATATGCTGAGCAAATATGTATGCTGGACATAATGCTAGATGCTGAAGACATAGAAGACAATGATTGCTTCTTGAGGTTTATGTTTTTTAACTGAGAAATAATGAATGAAATATGGAACAATACAGTTGAAATTAGTGGTGACACATAGAAAACAACTGTTGCTTTTTGATATTTATGTTCTTCCAGCATAGTGTCTTGTGAGTATCATTGTTGCAATGGGTCATCCTGTGCTCTTGGTTTCAGCATTCAAATAAAGTGATTTCATTCTTTCAAGCTACATTTACAAAAATACATTTTCAGTTCATATTATGAAATCTACTAAGCCAATATTTAGTAGTTGCCTTTTAGTTGTAAAATTAGTTGTAAAATTTGATATTTTATTGTTGTGTTCTTTCCTTTTACCTTTGAATAAATAACAAAATATTTTTTCATCTTTGTAAAATATTTTATCTTTGAAGAAAAGTTCAAGACCCTCTGCAGTTAACAGAAGTCTCGACATCCCTTCAATTCCTTCCTATAGACAGTCACATGGCTATGAAATTAATGATGATGGCATTGTCAAGAGGCTCTCTGCACCCTATAATGATAGCACACTAGGTCCTGCCTACTACAAACCTCAATTTGTAAGTATAGTGCATTTTATGATGACAGGTGGAAGGTTACTTACGACTGTGTTTTAATTCATGTAATACTAACGGCAATAACAAATAGACTTCCAAATTTCAGTGGCTTCATGCAGTAGACTTTTAAAATACGTTTATGAGATCTGGAAGAAGCAATCCTGGTAAAAACAAATGGCAACAATTAAGCGTAGAGTTGAGGAAATTCTAAGGAGACACCTATGGTAAGTACATTGTCAGGATTTAGCTTGATCGTCATTGCTAGTGCAACTTTAGTTATTTATTCATAGGAATCCTTGTCTTTGGACTTAAACGCAAGCCATTAGAAGCCATTTGGTTTGTGGTAATTGGTAACATGGGGAGTTTTTAGATCTTTTCATCTAAAATTGAATTAATAGCATATTTTTTCTAAAATATTTTTACTGTTTTATATATATATATATATATAATTAATTGAATACATAGTGTAAAATATAATGGATATGCATGGACCCATCACCCATATATATATATATATATATATATATATACACACACATACACACACATATACAAAGCATACATACATATACATACATATGCATATATGAATGTACATATAAAACCTATGCAACAATTCATAGCTGTATTTTAAAATGTTTTAAATATGTTACTAGTTATTACTTCAACTTCTCTAAATTTTTATTATGCTGGTTTTATTACTATTCTCTTACAAATATTAACATCTGCTCTGTTTTTCTTTTTTCTTTGTCAGTCCTGGGGCTTGAACTCAGGGACTGGATGCCCCCACCCCTGAGCTTTTTTGCTCAAGGCTATCTCTCTACCACTTGAGCCACAGCTTTTTGGGGGATAGTTTATTGGAGGTAAGAGCCTCATGGACTTTTCTGTCTGGGCTTGCTCCAAATCGTGATTCTCAGATCTTAGACCTCCTGATGATTACAGGTATGAGCCACTGGTGCCCGGCTAATTCCTGTTTTTTAAAAACATTTAAATAAATGTTATCTATATATGATGATTTCTTTTTCATTTAGAGTTTAATTTTCCAGATTTAACCTCATGAATGTATTAGACCAAATTTGTATATTTTCTCCACTTACATGTTTCTTTAAAAAATTATTTCATTTTAGTTCCCTCCCCTCTTGTATTTTATTAGCACCAAGGGAGATGGATTTCATTTTGATGTCTCTGTATACATACAGTGTTCCTCTAGTCAGCTTTCTGTCACTCTCAGTCATCCTGTCTCCCCTCTTCCCAAACCAATTTCAACAGACCCCATGGTTCCATTTTCACTTGTATACATAAAGTAAAATATCAAGTTTTGAAATTGCATAAGATTCATGGAAAAGTTGTAATAATAAAAATAATATCTATGTGTCAGTCACACTATTTTACTATAATTGTTAACATTTTATTATTTTCTTAATAATTTTTCTTCCTATATACTTATATTATTTGCTAAACCATTTCAAAATACATTTTGGATACGAAGCCTCGTTATCCCCTATCAACTTCAGTGTAAGACTTTCTCTTTTATGACCACAATGCAATTATTATAGGAAATTCCATACATGTGATGTCATTATTGAGTCAACAGATCTCTTAGAATATTTCTCTTAATTATGTCAATTATATATTATATAGAAAAAAGGTTTTGGAGTCCAATCTAGTATTACCAGTCATGTTTGGTTGTCATGTCTTTAGATTCCTTTACTTTGGAACTTTTCTTCATTTGTCCTATGCTTTTTCAACCTAGACACTTGCAAGACACACTTGTGTCTGTTTTCTTATGAATAGATACAACCTATATATTTTGATAGGAGAACTGATAGTGTCTGTCTGTCCCATAGTTGGTGATGGTTATTATGAATGGTATTTTCAGTTTTAAGTTCTTTTAAATTTTCTATCTTTTTAATTTATAAATATTTTTGGAGGGTTATTTTTAAGACAAAATGGATACCCAGTTTCATCAGATTGAAATAATAATTGACTTGTCTTCAAGTTCACTGATACTTTCTTCTGCAATTCAAATGTATTATTGGATTCCTCTAGTAATATTTTCATTTCTGTTATTGTAAATTATTTTAGTTTTTCTTCCCCACATTTTTTTTTAGCACCCAGAGGGTTGGGTTTCATTTCTAGTCTTTACATAGTTTCAGAGACCTGAGAGAGACTGTCAAACTTACCAACCCATGCATAATGACAAACCCAGAAGGAGAGGCAAGAGGGACGGGGTAGTGGAGAACATTTCAAGAAATAATGTCTAAAAATGTCAATAACTTTGATAAAAATATTACGTTTTCTGTTGTCTCTTCAAAGAGTATGTGTATTCGGTTTTCTCTCTGAAAATCTCTATTTTTGTCTGGCCAGGGAGATTTCTGTCTCAAGAGGATTTTGCTCTTCTCTATTCCATGCCTGGTTTTCATGACATGTTTATCCTAACATATCTTAATAGCCAGTTAATAATTAGTCTTCATCAACAGAGGCACATTACTTAGGCATTTAAGATACCTTAACATAAGAGCAGAGGTCAATTTTGTAAAAAATTATGATGAACTGTGTATGGTCTGATACCAGTATATTCTCTGCAAGGTGAAAAACAAAATATGAGGTTCAGTATATGCAGCTAGAGTGCCTAGGTTTGTTTTCTGATTCTATTACTTAATAGTTACTTTCAAATTATTTAACCTTTTGGTGCTTAGAGTCTTATCTGAAAATACCCTGGGGAAAAGCTACACTCTAAAATAGTGGAATTAATATTTATTTTTTCACAATAGTTATAGATCCTTGGTATTAATATAAGTAATTTCTTGATTCTTAAATCTCAAAGTATAATTCTTGATTTAAAATAGTCTTTTTAATGTGGACTCTTTTTTTGTTTTGGAAAAATGTATCATCTATCTTAAGTCTAGAATAATGCCTCCAAGCTTTCCTCGATGTATGAAGTCTTTTTCTCACATGAATAAGCATTACTTTGACATGTGAAGTTTATTTCTTTCTGGATAAATTATTCATAGAAGATAGAGAAAAGGAAGAAAATTCATTTCACAATAGGTTCAATTTATTTGATAACCTGTCTTAGTAATTACTGAGTCAGTTCAGCTTGTACTCAGTAGAATAAAAATCTAAATGTAATTTATGAAAACAAGTTATGTAAAAACACAGATTTACATATAAATTAAAGGCATAGTTCTTAGTATTCAAAAAGATTCAGTGAAGTTTAATTGGAATTGAGTTGTGATTTTTCTTTTCTTTTCCTTTTATTTTCTTTTTGTGAAATTCTCATCTTGAAATTGAGAGCTTGAGATTGAGTGGCAAAGCTTAGTAACTGAAGGCATTATTTTCTTCTGTTTCTCCCAAAGAAGGGTGGATTCTTCACAGGCTACTATACTCATTCTGTAATAACATTCAATCTAATACTACTCAAATTTCAGATAATTTTTTTTTTACACCAGTCCTGGGGCTTGAACTCTGTCTGGGCCTGGGTGTTTTCCCTGAGCTCCTTTTTGCTCAAGGCTAGCTCTCTACCACTTGAGCCACAGCACCACTTCAGGCTTTTTCTGTGATTAATTGGAGATAAGAGTCTCATGGACTTTCCTGCCTGGGCTGGCTTGGAACCACAATCCACAGATCTTAACCTCCTGAGTAGCTAGAATTATAGGTGTGAGACATTGGTGCCTGGCTCAGGTAATTCTTTGTAGCTCTTTAGCTGCTTAGTAAGACAATACTGTGTGTAGGCTCAACTTTTTGGTGTGAATATCAGTAGAAAATTAGGAAAGCAACAGATGGGTAGTTATTGGGGTTCTTCTTAAACTGTCAAGTCACATCTACTGAAGATATCTGAAAAAGTTCACACATAGACTCGAGCTATATAGGATTGAGACCAGCAACTGATATACATTAGCTAATTTAATCTGCAAAGAGAAATTCACTATATAAATTAATTTGTATAACACTTTGAAAGACAAAACTTACCTTCTCCATGCTTTACAAGAGCCCAAGTAACTGTCAGAAATACATGTATTTTCAAAAATGGGCTTCACATTAAAATTTGGATTGGAATGATGACACTATGCTCTTTGATGACATGTGGGAAGCTACCTGTGCACCGCCACACTGGAAAGCAGCCCATTACTGTTGAAATGGATGCACCGTGGGCTGTTAATTCTTCACAAATTCCATTTCCATATTTAATTATGGAACAATGTGGGGTAAAAGTTGCCTAGTCTCTTCTTCATTCATTTAAGTGTCAATGAGAGTGGCAGTTCATAATTCTTCTTTACATTTTATTACAGCATTCACTTAAAATGAGGTAGCTTCATGCTGGTTATGCTTCAATTAAGTCATATTTTATTTGCTAATAACTTTCCAAGTTGACAGTGACCTTGAAGTTGGTACTGTCAATACTTTTGAGGTAAAAGCAAATGTGATCTAAAGTTGAGTGCATTAATTTATTCTCTGTTTTCTTTCTATTCATTTAAGAGATAAATTTAATTTCATATTGGACATTCATCTGAATGCTACAGAAGTCATCAAGCAATTGTTGCTCACATATTAAATAAATGAAATAAATTTTATTGTATAATCTGGAAAAGAGTTTTGTTAAGGTTTTGAATTTTTTTGTGTTCATGCACACATGTGCACTTTTTACTTTTACTTGATTACATTTTTGAATCGTTTAATAGTTTAACCATAAAAATCTCCGTAATGTGAATTCATCTGAGGAAAGCAAGATCCTGAATCTCTGTGTTAACATAGTTATTATAGTTAGGCAGCAATCTTGCACCAATAATCCTAGCTACTCAGGAAGATGAGATATGGTTTGAAGCCAGTCTAGGAAGACAAATCCAAGACTCTCTGGTGTCCACTTAACTAGCGAGCAGCCCACATGAGATATGACTCAAGTGGTAGAGCTCTAACTATGAGCAGAAAAAGTGGAGTGAGAACTCTAGATCCTGAATTCAAGCCCCAGTGCTAGCACGTAGGCCACACGAGGGGACACACACATGCACACTCTAGAATAAAAGCTTCACATGTATTTAAGGGGATAGCTGAGTGACAGAGCAGTTGCCTAGTATCCACAAGAGCCTAGGCTCAATCCCTACCATTGAAACAAGCTGGGCATGACATTTTTTAAGTCCCAAAACTGTGACACAAAGTTGGGCACCAGTGGCTCATGCCTATAATCCTAGCTACTCAGAAGGTTGAAATCTCAGGATCCCAATTCGAAGCCAGCCCAGGCAGGAAAGTCTGTGAGACTCTTATCTCCAATTAGCCACCAGAAAACTGGAAGTGGCACTGTGGCTCAAGTGGTAGAGCACTTGCCTAGAGCTGAAGAGCTGAGGGACAGTGCCCAGGCTCAAGAGTTCAAGCTCCCCCCCCTCAAAAAAAAGTGACACAAGATATACTCTATTGAGGTTCACTTTCTGTGATTATCTTTAAGTAGTTGTACAAAGGGATTTTAATTCAACATTTCAATTTAAAAGTACAGTGCATCCTGATCAGTGTTACTCCTTCCACCATTTTCTCCCCATCTATCATAAGGTACTCTTTTAAAATATTGATTTGTGACATGTTATGGTAATTATATTAGATATGTTCTTGTTTGCAGTATATAAACTATCTAACATATTCAGCAAGGCTATATTGTAGAACAATATATAGTAAAAAAAATCTGCAAAGTTGCCGAATTTAGCTTTATTTTTAAGCAAAAGTAAAGTACAGCATTCATAGGAATATTTGTTCTTTCTACCATTGAAATTGTCCATGTATTTTAAAACCCATGACACTTAGCAAAAGGAGGGATTGTTGGTGAGGGGCCGTCTCTTGTCCTAAGCCCTGTTGGATGCGGTATATGGAGTTACACTGACTTTTTAAGAACAAGCTACTTTTCAGTCATGCTAATGGTGGCTTGGGTTTGTTCCAGTACTCCTCTAATAGCATCTGCTGCTCTGCTGGACATGTTGGGCAGTGCCACTTGTCTATGGTATTGGTGTTATAGCTTTTGTCTCCCAACTCCCAGACACAAAACTTTTGGAGGGTCTGTGTTATTTTCTTTTGTGTTATACTTAGGAGTCCCAAAGAGTTTGTGTGTGTGTGTGTGTGTGTGTGTGTGTGTGTGTGTGTGTGTGTGTATTGCTCTCCTTACATGTTACAGAACAGCTTATTTTAATTTCAGAAAGCTTATTTTAGTTTTTATTCTTAGTCTGATAATGTGCTGGACTTCAGAATCATGTATCACTAGCCTTCCTATGTGAAAACATGTAACAGTAATGCCTTTGATACATTGCTTTGTAAGACTGAAACAAGCTGAATGTTTATAACGAGGAGAGGGACATAATAGTCTGTTCTTTGTGTTAATTCATTAGAAGGGATCAATAGAGATCAACAACCCAGATGCATTGAAACCATGTCCAATGCTGGAAAAATATCTAGAAGATAATGAAGATCAATCCTTTCTATTTGTATAACACAACGTTGCCTGGGCTTTAATTACATTACAGGCACGAAAGGTGATTATAACAATAAATGATGATGTGAGAAGCTGAAATATCAGTATCACTTGTCTTTGCTTATTCAGGTAGAAGACCTCACATCTTCTCCAGAATTTTCTTTGCCAGGTATTTCTAGAAGTCCCGAGGGCCTGTGTCATCCATGCTCTGGACAAGTCTGTTTCCTTGGAGTACGGCTGCCACTGGGCCTGGCACCGCTTGCCAGATGGTGTGTTCTGCTGGGCATGTATTTCCACCAGTGTTCTCTACCGCACAGCAAACCATTATGCTCTATTACAAGGCACTGAAAGCATTACCAGCTTTTATCCATGCTTTCAACCAAACAGTTCTTTTAGACTCTTCATGATAGCTGCTTTGCATATCACTAGATAGAAGTATAAATCCAGTGGGAACAATCTACTAGGAAAGTTTGTGCCACAGAAAATGCACAGTGTTTGTTATTGCCCTCTTGTGACACCAAATAAGGGTTGTCATAATCAGCTACTTCCCATAGAAGTAGTTTTCACATCTATCTTCTGATTGTTTTGCTTTATTCCAAAGCATCCCCGAACAGTCCTACCTGTGATGACTTCTCTGTGCTCAACTCTAATATCTGGCTTTACTAGCTTCTTTTTGGATTTTATTATGGCATCTCAACACATTTAGGAGGGGTTCCTATCTGAGTAGAAATCACTGCCTCCTCAGCACTGAAGAATCATACTTATCTCCAGGTATTATTGTCTTCCCCGGGATGTTAAAAACTTCCAATGATAGCTCTTTTCTCCTGGTACAGGAGCCTTTTCCACTTCTAGTCTGCTGTGCTATGTCTTATTAAATTTGTTAGTCTTTGGCACGTAAATGATTCCTTCTAGTTTCTGACACTGATAATTGTGGTTATTTTATATCTTTCCTTTGAAATGTTTGGGTGAGGCAGTGGCAGGTATGGGTTTGAACTGAAATACTTTTGTAACTAACATTGCTATTTATTGCATTCATTTGATTGGAATGATGTTCAGTTACACAGCTCTTAAATAGTAATAGCTCCAAAGAACACTTGCTACATTTTTTTTAATATAGTTAAACTGTATATGTTTATGTTAGGGGGATTTTATTCAATGTATAGTAAATGTTTTAATAAAACTTATTTTGCAATATAATTTATAAACATAGTCTTTCAAATGAATTAAAATTACTATATAGTTTATTTTCTACCATTAATTAAAACTATTTTTTCAATAAAAGAGTTTTTAAATAATTGCTTAATTAAGAAAGATTTGGGTTAAGACAATTCTTTCAAGAGAAACTATTGTTTTTATAGTGTTACTCTTCACTATTTTAGCTTAACAAAGTGCTATAACATTTTAGGGTTCTTATATTTATTTGGTGATCTGTCAATGAACAAAGCATTCACTAGTGGTACCCATGAATCCATATTTATCCATCCTTTAGCTTTAGACTTAAGACATTGTTTTTATAACTTAATGAACTTACGCTTCATCTTTCCTTTTTTGTTTAAGGATGCACCCAGAGCGTCTCTAAAATACAAAGGTATACATTTTGGGACTTCTTCAAGAAGTAGACAGTTTTTACCTATACAGCCAGGTCCTGGACCTGGACAGTATGATATAGTCCAGTAAGTAATGATAACAATAAAAAAATGCGTAGCTTTAAGGTAATTCTTACTATATAGTATAGCATTTTATTAATACAGCTTAGACTATTCAGTTAGGAAAGGAAGATTAGTATGAAAACCTCCAAGATGTATTATGTTCTAGAGCAACCCTTTTGACTGATATTGTTGTCTTTATGAGCCAGATACTGTGCCACCCATTGTATATGTATTCCTCAGTTAATGCTTACAATAAGTCTTTGTGTAATTATATTGTTTTAGCTATAATATCAGTGAAAAATTCTAGGATCAGAAAGGATAAATAGCATGTTCAGAATAATACAATGGTAGGAGTAAATACTAAAAAATCCTGTCACCCACTGAGAGAATGCAAAGGAAGGAATGACATTTTCTTTTTAAAAAAGGCTCTTATGTAACTGTAACCCCTCTGTATATTACCTTTATAACAATTAAAAAATGTCCAAAGGGGAAATCATCAGAGTTACAATAGCCTATATAGACTTCCTTTGGTGAGTAGAGTACACAGAAAACTTCTGTTAGCTTTTAGGGTCAATTCATGATGTGTCACATTTTGTTTTGGTTTTGGAATCATTGTTCAAACAGTCTCATAATAATGCTGTGAACTGGAAAAAGAACAACTAGTTAAAATAAGAAATGCATTTTTATAAAATTTGAATATATTAGTCTACCATTAGATTACTATTACATACTTCTAAAGCAGGAAATGTTGCTATAAATGTTCTTGCTTAAGCAAATATTGACATATGCAAAATTCAGAACTTTCCATTTCTGTCTGAATTTTCCAAAGGGAAAAGACACTCCATTATGAAAATGTTAATGTGAAGAAAGATCACCAAGAAAGTTGTGCCTCATTTCTCCCACGATTTTTTGACTTAATACCATTGCAGGAGAAAAAAAGGGTAAGTTGAAAAGTAGCTATTTTTAATTTTTCCAGATTCTAATATCATTGAGTTGATTACAATAAAGTTCCTTAAGATTTACTTAGTCTGGTAGCTGGGCCACTCAGCAAGTATTGCAGAAGTGATCCTTGTGTCATTTTGAACACTTCCTATCATAAGGAACTCACAACAGCCCTCTGAAGTTTTGTTGTTTCAGTAGTAAACCACTCTTCTTTCTTAAGATGCTCTTCTTAATCTCACCTAAATTTCTCTTCCTCTGCCTCCCTTTTGTTCTCCCTTCCCTGTAATTCATTTCAATATCTTTTTATGTACATTCAAGATCATGCATTTTCTTTTGAAGTCACATAAAGCCTTCTTCAATTTGTGAATCTTTCTTGTTTTTACATAGGGTATCTAAAACTAAGAATAGTATTCTGAGTGTAGCCTGACTGTAGAATTTCGATGGTGGAATTTTGTAGTGTGATAGAATTTTCATCTTCAATAGGTTATTAGAATAAGCCTATATGGCTGGGAAGGTGGCTCAGTGGTAGAGCGCTTGCCTTGCATGCATGAGGCCCTGAGTTCGATTCCTCAGCACCATATAAGCAAAAAGAAAAAAGCTGGAAGTGGCGCTGTGGCTCAAGTGATAGAACGCTAGCCTTGAGCTGAAGAGCTGAAGGACAGCGCCCAGGCCCAGAGTTCAGGCCCCACAACCGGACCAAAAATAAAAAAAAAATAAATAGAATAAGCCTATATATATATATATATATATATATATACACACACACACACACACAGACACATTCCATTCTTAAAAATGTAGCTACATTTCAGTTTATTCCTTAGAACTTAAAGACAAACACTTCTGATAAAATTATTATAGTATCTTTTATAATGTTAATGAACTCTATAAGAGGACTCATGACTGACACTTGTTGCTCTTGCAACGTTTAGATTGGTAATATAAAATATTTGCAATTTATTTTGTGTCATTAAGAAAACAGTAAAATTCCACTAGGTGGCGCCAATTCATTGGCTCTTTTCTGATATAACGTCCTTTCACATTAAAATAATGTTCCAAAGGAGGAGGCTACAATGCTTGATAAGAAATGTACTCATTATCTTGCCCATGTAATTGTAACCCCTCTGTACAGTATGTTCACAATAAAAAATAAAACAATGTTCGACAAGAAATGTATTCACTACCTTATGCATATAACTGTAACCCCTCTGCACATCACCTTGACAATAAAATTAAATTAAAAAGAATACATTGCAAATTAAACCAAATAAAGCTATTGCTTAACCAAAAATAACTCCAAAATAGAACCAAAAAACAAATCTTTTGATGTGACAATATAGAAAATTTTACCCTGTAGTCTATTTGAACAGATACAAGTGAGAAATTTTAGTTTCAAAGTTCTTCCTGATGTAGGTAGTATGGAACTATGTGTTTAAAAATTTTATTCAAGTGCTTAGTTTTACATTGTTTTTTTCTACTAATTTATCTATATAAATCCAGTAAATTTGTTAGTATCTTAAATGTTGCATTTTAAAATGTGATTTTAGAGAAGAAATTATTATCTGGGTCAGCATAAGATAACATAAGAATAATTTACTAATATCAAATAGATACTAAATAGAAAGTGTTAGCTTCATGTAATTAAAATTATGCCTTAAAAAAGCATTTGGGGAGAGGAAGGGTTATAACAAAATGCTTAAATAAGGATGCAGGTTGACCCATTGTAACAATGAGATGTACAAGACACTATGTTGAAAATGAACGTTACAACTTGCAGGGGGGGGGGAGTGGGAGGGAGGAGTTGAGGAGGTGGGGAGGGAAAGGATGGTAGGGGAAAACCAAAGGAGGAGGTAACAATGCTCGATAGGAAATGTACTCATTACTCATGTAACTGTAACCCCTCTGTACAGTATTTTTACAATAAAAACATAACAATAAAAGAAAATAAAGGCTTGAGACATGCTTTAGTGGTAGAGTACTTGCCTACCAAGTATAAAGCAATGAGTTTAAAAAAAAAAGGTGTGTGTGTGTGTGTGTGTGTGTGTGTGTGAGAGAGAGAGAGAGAGAGAGAATTTACAAGGACAGAAAAGACAAGTCTTTTTGACATTTTCAGTTTTCACTTATGGGTAAATTATTTTATTATTTCTGATGCAAACATTAGCATTTTCATGTATTGTTGCTAGTATTTAATAGTTACTAAGTTACCTGAATGCTTAGGTTTATAATAGGCACCAGACAATTTCTTGAAGCTACTAATATATGATGATGATCTTGAAAGAGCGTGGCTCGAGGATGGCCAAAGAATTAATTAAGACTTATTCACAATTGTATACATTTCCCCAACATAAAATAATTATTCCTGGAAGAGTTACTGCATCCAAAAGTCTGAGTGCATTTAAGTTAGTTTTCAAAGAGAAGATAAAAGATTTCAAATGAAATAGGAGAAAATGATTGAATTATTAAAAAAAGTAATTGGGTAAAATTATGTGTGAGAAGAATGAAGAAGTTGAAATAGTGATTGCTTCAATATCATTAACTATTGTATGGTGATTCAGTTTCTTTTGGAAGAGTTCGGAAGAGCATCCTGACTATTATCAGAAAATTTTTCATTCAGAAGTCACATTCATTCATGATTTAAAAAAAAAAAACTATAAAAAGAAGAAAGCCTTGTTGGATTTCTTTATGGTTTAGTGATGAAGAATTAAAGTTTTAGGATCATATTGCATTTAGTTTCTTGCTCTGTCACATATTAACTCTGTGACATTGAGTTATTTTTCCATTCCAGTCCTCTACGATGTAAGTAATATCAATAAAAGGTTCTTCCATCAGATGTGAATAGACACATTCATACACTGCCTAAAATGGTGTATGATGTGTATGAATACTTAGTAAGTGATATTTCTTATTACTTCTCATTTAATGAACAGTTGAACACTTGCTATATGCTGTGTATAGAAATGATAATAGAGAAAAGTTTCTTAAATTAAGGAACTCTTTCATACTCTTTGCTGGAAGATGCAAGTTTTTAAATAAGTATCCATTTAGACCCAAATATATTGAAGTAGGACATCAGAGGAGATCCCCGTTGACTCAGTGAAGTCAGTGAAGGATTCCAGTACATGTTTGTCATTTGGACGACTGAGTGGATGTTTATCAAATGGAATAGAACACTGTAGGTGATGAAGATGTATGAAGCCATTAATGTGTGAGAAAGCATTTTTACTATTTGCAGATGATGATGAGTTAGTAAATATTTTAAGCATGTGCTTCATGAACAGCTTTGCAACTTCAAAAAGCTCAGAAAGTCAGCAGTGAGTCAAATGGGAACCGAAGAAATGAGAGCGAAAGAGATGAGGGTTATTGCTTCTCAAATGAATGCCTGTATTACTAGGGAAATGGAACTGGAAATGAGAGAAAAGCGACAGATAGTTCTTAGCATTGGTGTGTTTTCTTTCTGTGCTAGTACTGGGGCTTGAACTCAGGGCCTGGGCTCTCTCCCTTAGTGTTTTTGCACAAGGCTGGCACTCTACGGCTTGAGCTGTAGCGCCATTTTGGATTTTGAATGGTTAATTGGAGATAAGAATATCCCAGGCTATCCTACCAAGTATGGCTTTCAGTCTCATATCAACCTCCTGTGTAGCTAACATTACAGGTGTGAGCCACCGTTGCTGGCTCAGCATTGATTTTTATTTTTAGGCTCCCAAGAACTTTAATTAGTAGATATATCGATTAGATATTACAAAATATCCAATTTACACAGTTACAGATATAAAAGAATTTAAAAACATAAGAAAAGAACAATCAATTAGCATTGATTTTTTTAAAATTTTTTCTTGGCACTTGTGGGGTTGAACTCAGTGCCTGGATGCTGTCCCTGAGTTCTTTTGCTCAGTGCTAGTGCTCTTCCACTTTGAGCCACAGCTCTACTTCCATCTTCTGAGTGGTTAATTGGAGATAAACCAGCTCGGGCTGGCTTTGAACTGTAATTTCAGATCTCAGCCTCTTGAGTAGCTAAGGTTATAGATGTGAGCCACCAGCCCCAGGCAGGATTGGTTTTTATCTAGTGATTAATTAGATGTGGGAGGATCAGTCAGAAACAAGTATCGATGATGACTCCCAGGTTTCTCATTTAAAATTCTGTGTGAGTAGTGTTTTGGGAAGTTAGAGAGAAAATATAGACAGCATATTCCATTGTGTGTGTGTGTGTGTGCGCGCGCGTGCACGTACGTGCAAGCATGCGTGCACCCCCCCCCCCCACATTTGTGGAGAATCAGATTATTTTAAGTTTTATTTGCTAAATAGTCTAGATATGGATTACCAGCAGTGGCATCTCAGAGCATGAATGGAGTCAGCCATCCGATGAGACAGGGAACACCCTAGCAGAAAGAATGGCTTGGAAGACTACTCTGTTTTTTAAGTTTACGAAGTAGAAACTATGGGGATTTCTACTTCACAAGACTGTTAATGAAATACAATAATGAAGATGAAAGAACTTATTGCATTTAAAGTGTTACATAAAGATTATTTGAGTGACCAAAGCAGACATTTTTCATTTATTTTGGTGCATTGTTTTTGAAGCAAGGAGTAGCGAGAGTGATACAACAACCTTTTTTTTTTTTTTTTAATTTTTTATTGTGAAAATACCATACAGAGGGGTTACAATTACATGGGCAAGATAATGAGTACATTTCTTATCCAGCATTGATGCTTCCTCCTTTGTTTCCCCTTCCTATCCCTTCCCATCCCTTCCCGCCCCTTCCATACCCCTCTTCCCCGCCCCGCCCTCCCGCCACCAAAGTTGTAAAGTTCGTTTTTCGACATAACGACTTGTACATCTCATTGTTGCAATGAGTCCATCTGTATCCCTATTTAAACGATTACAACAACCTTTATATGAACAGAACTACCATTTACTGTATTTCATCGTGCAGTTACTTTTGAATTTGCTAAACTTGGAGTGGCTCTATTCTCTTTTCCTTTTTAAAAACGATTTTCTCTAAAAATAGTTATTGAGATAGTAAGCGTGTGCATATGTGTGTACAATGTGTGAATGTGCTCCTTTGAATTGTGATTTTGGGGGATTGCCTGTTAATATCAAAATTTCTATTCAGATGGTCCAATCCAGCCATCTGATTTTCTATGATAATAACTCATCATTTCACAAATGAAGCAATATGTTATCTTTAATCTTAAAGTAAAATTAATAATATATTTTATAAGCTATAGAAGCTTCTTCAAACTCAATTAAGATTATTTACATTGGACAGTATTTCTAAGTTTTATTTATTCATGAAGAATGTAAATAAAACATTTATGGTTTTACAAAGGTTGTATGGGTTCCCAATCTCATATATGCTAATTTTTCTAAGTATCAGTTTCTATGGTTACTAGGTTTTCTTTAAGAGTTTAGTATAATGTAATACTGATTTTATTCTGAAAGGACAACAATGTAAGTTATGATTCTTGAGTTATTTATGTCTTTTGCATATTTCAGAAAGTAAAATGATCTCTATATGTTTTTATAGCTATATTTGGATTTTATAAATTGATCTCTGTAAGTAAACATCCTGTTTCAGAATCTAGAGTGAACTTCAATTTAAAGGAGCTAATGACATTTAATAATACTTTAAAAGTAACTGTTTGGGGAGATTAATTTTGATGATAAAATCATCTGTGAATGTGGCAAAGCAGTTTTATGGCAGGAAAGATTACCTTCTGTGTTTCACATACATTGTGTTGGTGTGTCAGAAGGTGGACTTGATAACTTGTGACTCAGTAGAGAAATTGAGGGCGCTAAATTCTGAAAACCACTGGCAAGGTTATTTTAAAAGGCTGGATCTAATCAGTAACAGTATTATTATCTGAGAGTTGATGAAGACAAGTCATAAAGAGTAAGTGTGTAAGAGGAAGTGAGAGCAATACCAGGGTAGGCCTAATGAATGTGTGAAACACTCATCTTTGCTTTTCAAGCTGAACCTATTAGGTCATCCGTCAGTCAAGAGAGGCAGGTAGTGACCATTAGGTGGACTCATTAACACTCTGCAGCCTGCTTGTACAGAGTGACTCACATCTGTCTTCATTAGAAGTTTCCTGGTTGCCAGTAGTGAACAGATGGGTCATTATTACAACACTGCCCTCTGGGCTTACCTGGAGGACACACAAAGTCGTCTCGCACAACACATAGCCACATTTACCTCCTTCCATGGGAGAAAAGTTTTTGGAGTAGTGGGGATTGAGATAGTCTTATCCAAGAGGTGGCCAAGGAGATTCATGTTTATGAACAGTTTATACAAAAATAATATTTGGAGAAGGAAATTATTTTAATGCATATTTTAAATGGGAAAACTAGATTATACTTGAATTATAAATTTGTTGTAGGTTGGTATAAACTTTATTCAAATCATTTGAATTGAATAGTATACTTAAAGACTTTAAAAGAGGCATAATGTTTAATAAGTATGATTATTACTGATGATGCTTTTACAATAAAAATTTTATGTATTTCAATGTTTCCTTTGAAAGATTTCTTGGACTTTAACAAGGACTGTACCTTGTAGCTAGCATGACTAAATTACACATCTCTCTATCTCTACCTATCATTCTGTCTGTCTGTCTGTCTGTCTAATCATCATCTTTTTTTCAGTCTGATTTAAATAAAAGAAAAATCATGCTTGTACACTTTTACTGTTGAATTGTGTCTTTAAATAGACTATTTTCCCCAATGGTAGCCAGCACTTTGTAAGAGGAGATTAATTATATTCAGTGTAAATACTGAGTGTAAATGATGACATGATATTGAGTGTACATTTATCTTTACACACCTAATTGTATCCTCCCCCCCATCTCTTTAATCTACAGAGAAGCTTTTGTGTTTATTAATGTGGAGGGTTACCACAAGGGCAGGTTACCTGTATATACTTAGAACACTGAATCATGAAAAATACTTTTGGAAGTGGTTATTCTTCACATAATACTATAAAACATTATTTTAAAGCTGTCATTCTATATTTAGAAATTTGGAGTCTAGAGTCCCGAGAATGAGAGTATTTAGCAATCCTAAGAGTTACTTTTTCCCCCCTTAAATACAACTAGTCGGGAATTTATTTTTTCATGTAATTTTCATAAAGAAATATAAAAGTTAACAGATTGTATAATAACATTAAAGGAATAGTGTTATTCTTAAGCAAAGATATTTTTGCCTAAAGAATCTAATGAGAAACTATGGGAATATTTTTTAATAGAAGGTATTTCTTTTTGGAGCTATCAACTCTCTTTCCAATTGAGGAGCAAAACAGGGTATTTAAGGATCATATCTGAGAAGAAATTCAAGTTCTCTCTCTGAGGTAAGGATTATTTTCTTTTGGGAAAGGTGTCCTTTATTGAGCCTTCATACACCCAATGGTCTTCATATACCCAGGGGTCAAAGAACAGGCTATAAAGCACTTGTACAATACTTTTTTGGGGAGCCAATCCTGAGGTTTGATCTCAGGGCCTGGGTGGTGTTCCTGAGTATTTTTTTTCTCAAGACTAGTGCTCTACCATTTGAGCCATAGCTTTACTTCTGGTCTTTTGGTAGTTAATTATTAGGAGATAAGAGTCTTACAGACTTTCCTGCCTGGGCTGGCTTCAAATCTCTATCCTCAGATCTCAGCCTCATGACTAGTTAAGATTACGGGTGTGAGCCACCAGTACCTTGCACAATACATTTCTTTATACCAACATAATTCTCACAGAAACAGTTGAAAGTGACATAACACCTATTAGTAGCATAATAATTCTTTGTCCTAGAAGTTTGCTTTCTGATTTAACTTTTATTACACTTGCTTGTTGGTTTTAGGCATATAGAGTTGATCAAAATGACATATAACAATCTTTCTGCAAAACAGTTCTGTGCCAGCAAAAGTCCAGAAATGGAGATGTAACACAAGTGGTACAATGCCAACCTTGGGAGAAAAAGTCAAGCATGAGCTTCAAAGCTCTGTGTTTAAGCTTCAACATATCTTTCTTTTATTATGGGTCACTGATTATAAGACGTTTTGGCTTCAGCATCTCATTGTACTGCTAAAACTATTAAAAAAACTCCAGATAATTTTATTTTGGAGGTATTTATTGATACGTACTGTATTAGACTTTGAATCAGAGAATGTTTAAAGTTCAGGCATATCAAGTATATATAAAAGGACAAGAGTCAAAGAGGCAAGCAAAACCTTAATATTGTGAAAATAATTTTTATCTTGAGGGTTTTCTGAAAGAACACAGGGAATCCCAGGGGTCACTGAAACAAACTTCAGGAACCATGACTGCAGTGCTTTTGAACTTAGAAGTAGCAATATTTTGTTTGTTTATTAAATGTTTAGACCAGGCAATTAAATATGTTAGCTATTAACTTATAGCAAAGATTCTCATCTACATAGTATAAAGTTATAGCTTTGAATAGGATCATTTAAAAAATTTTAAAAGTAAAATTGTGTTGTGAACACACAGTGGTGTTGTAATTGGGAATGAGAATAGGTTTTCTAACTATACCTGTTAGAGTTACAGTGACCTTTAGAGATATGCTGGCATTTGCAACTCTTATATCAAATGTCTTCTAACATTTTACTGTCAGCAGGGAACATGAGAATTGACTAGTTTGAAATGGCAGTCTTAGGAAAAGACATAAACTTTGAAATATCCATAACTACTTTTAATGTCAAAAAAGTCACACATGGCTATTCTCATTTATTTTAAATTTATTTTTATCATCACTCCAAAATTTCAAAATTGTTGTTTTCAGGAACATCTTTTATCTCTTTCTAATTTATTTAAAATTGACATATAAAATTATATTTATTTACTGTGTAAAGTGATGTTTTGAAGCATATGTATATTGCTGAATGGTAAAATCTAGGTAATTAACAAATGTATTACCTAATAGTTACCATTATCGTAGTGAAAGCACGTAGAGTCCACTCTCCTGACATTTCCTAAGAATAAAACATAACATCAGTTATAACCATCATGCTTTACAAAAGATCTCATGAAGACATTCTTCTTACTTAAATAAAAATATGTACCCTTTGACTAGCATTTCCTCCCTGCTCCCTGACCCCCTGTAGTACACCTGTAACTAACATTCTACTCTCTTTCTATCACCCTTCTACATCCTACTTAGAAGTGAAAACGTACAGTATTTTTCTTCATATGCCTGGCTTATTTCATTTACTATCATGCCCTTTAGGTTTATCTATATTTTTTAAATGACAGGATTTCATTATTTTTTATTACTGAATACTAGACAACTGAAGTATTTTAGTTATCTATTCATCCATTAGTAGACATGTAGGTTATTTATATGTGAGCTCTTGTGAATAGTGCTGCAATAGTCATGGGAATGCAGATTTTTTTTTAAAGCATACTGATTTAATTTCCCTTTGTTCTCCTTAATGAGATTTCTGGCTTAGAAGATAGTTCTATTTTAAATAGAAACATCATCACTATGGCTCTCCACAATGGCTCTATCAATTTATATTTCTGTCCTCCATCAGGGTTTTCTTTCTCTGTATCCTTATCTACACTTGTTCTTGTTTGTGTGTTTGACACTAGACATTCTAATAGGAGGTGATACTGTGTAATGGTTTTAATTTCTATTTCTTTGACGATTAGTGAAGTTGTGTGTTTTGGCAAATATTTGTGATCCATTTGTATGTATTTAAAAAATGTATGTTTAAAGCCGGGCTCTGGTGGCTCACGCCTGTAATCCTAGCTACTCAGGAGGCTGAGATCTGAGGATCGTGGTTCAAAGCCAGCCCGGGCAGGAGAGACCGGGCAGGAGAGACCGTGAGACTCCTATCTCCAATAAACCACCAGAAAACCGAAAGTGGCGCTGTAGCTCAAGTGGTAGAGTGCTTACCTTGAGCTGAAGAGCTGAGGGACAGCGCCTAGGCCCAGAGTTCAAGCCCCACAACCGACCAAAAAAAAAAAAATGTATGTTTAGCCTTTGTTCATTTCAAAATTGGATTATTTGGGATTTTTCCCCTCTATGTTTTCTACTGGTAGTTTCATAGCTTTAGGTCTTAGATTTGAATCTTTAATCCACCACTCTGACTGGTATGGATTTCTGTGATCTCAACCTCCTTCCTAGTTGGGATTACAGACATAAACCACCACACCCAGCCTTCTGGATGTTTGTTGATACATACACACTTAAGGAAATATAATAGAGTATAAATTACTTTGTAAAACCAACAACTCATAATAATGATTATGCTTAGACAGCCTGGATCTTCTAAAGCTTACAGCCATGAAAAGATTTAGGAAAGAAGTGACTCCCCCCCATTTTTGTTCACATAAATCAAGATAAATGATTGATTGGTTATGACAAAAAATAAATACATTTAAAATAACAAGATTTTTTTTTTATTTGGTCATGGAGCTTGAACTTTGGGCCTGGGCACTGGCCTTCAGCTCTTCAGCTCAAGGTGAGCCACAGTACTACTTCTGGTTTTCTGGTGGTTAATTGGAGATAAGAGTCTCATGGATTTTCCTGCCTGGGCTGGCCTTGAACTATGATCCTCAGATCTCAGTCTCCTGAGGAGCTAGGATTACAGGTGTGAACCACTGGTGCTTGGCAATAAAAAGATTTAAAGAAATAATCAATAAAGTTACTTTCAGCATGATTTCAACCATCAAAACTGAACTGGATGTTCTCATTGTCAATAAACTTTCTAAAGTGTTTTAGTGATGAACATTGATGCAAAACTCAACAAAATCTTGGCCAGTCGACTTCAACAATTCATCCAAAAAAATCATACACCATGATCAAACAGGATTTATTTCAGGGATGCAAAGCTGGTTCAATATAGGCAAATCAATTAATATAATTCAGCACATCAACAAGAGCAAGGATAAGAACCACATGGTTATCTCAGTAGATGCAGAAAAAGCATTTGACAAGATCCCCTTTATGATGAAGGGAACATTACTCAATACAATAAAGACTGTATATGACAAACCTCCAGCCAGCATTATACTTAATGGTGAAAAACTAAAGCCATTTCCTCTTAACTCAGGAATGAGACAAGGATGTCCACTCTCTCCACTACTCGTCAATTTAGTATTAGAATGCCTAGCTACAGCAATAAGATGCAAACATAAAAGGGATCCAAATAGGGGAAGATGAAGTAAAACTCTCTCTCTTTGCAGATGACTTGATCTTGTATTTAATGAATCCCACAAACTCCACTCCCAAATTACTCAAGCTGATTCAAAACTTTGGCAAAGTATTAGGGTATAAAATTAACCCTCAAAAATCAATGGCTTTCCTGTATGCCAACAATGAGAAAAGCGTGGCTAAAATCAGGAAAGCAACTCCATTTATAATAGCCCCACAAAAAATAAAATACCTAGGAATTAACCAAAGAAGTGAAGGATCTTTATGATGAAAACTTTAAAAACCTGAAAAAGGAAATCAAAACAGAACTTAGTAAGTGGCAAAAACTCCCATGCTCTGGATTGGAAGGATCAACATCATGAAAATGGCAATACTTCCCAAGGCTATCTACAAATTCAATGCAATACCTATCAATATTCTAACCTCATTCTTCAAGGAAATAGAAGGGCCAATCCAAAAATTCATATGGAACAATAAAAGACCCTGAATAGCAAAATCAATCCTTAACAGAACAGTGCTGGAGGAATATCAGTACCAAATTTAAACTCTGCTACAAAGCCATAGTAATCAAAACAGCTTGGTACTGGCACAAGAACAGACCTCAGGACAAATAGAATAGAATTGAAAACCCAGAAGTGAACCCACAGACCTATAGCCATCTAATCTTCGATAAGGAAGCTAAAAAAATAGAATGGAAGAAAGGCAGCCTCTTCAGCAAATGGTGCTGGCAAAATTGGTTAATCACTTGTAGAAAACTAAGGCTAGATTCTTATATATCACTCTGCACCAGAATCAATTCCAAATGGATCAAATGGAGTTAAAGCAGACACCCTGAAAACATTACAGGATAGAATAAGAGAAAACTTAGGTCTCCTTGGTCTCTTAAAAGAGACCCAGAAACACAACAAATCAAAGAAAGGTTTGACAAATGGGATTGCATGAAAGTGCAGAGCTTCTGCATAGCAAAGGACATAGCTAGCAAGATCAATAGAAAGCCCAGAGATTGGGAGAAGATCTTCACTAGCCATACAACGGACAATGGTCTCATATCTAAAATATACTTGGAACTCAAAAAATTAAATCCCCCAACAACAAATCCTCAAAGAAACAACTACCCAATAATAAGTGGGCTAAAGACTTAAAG